TCCTTCCTACTTTGGTATTTTGTAACTTGAGTTTTTATATGAAATTTTATCATTGTGGGCTTATTATCTTGTGAGTCTCCCTCTCTCCCCCCAATATGTAGCAACAATTATGAGGTTAGCACAGGACCAGGCATTGTTTTGTTTTGTTGGGCATAGGGTCAATGTGAATTGGTATTGACTTGATGGCACCTAAGAGCAACAACAAATGTAGCTGTAGTTAAAAGAAACAGTTATTATTGTGAGATGGATTTTTTAATCCACTGTTAACAGGTTTCTTTCAAATGACACTATGAACATTCTAAGATGTGTGCCTTTTGTTTTTTTAAACCAGGGATATTTTGGGGGGTTTTTTTCTGGATAATGTATAGTAGTTTTTCTTTTTTTACTTTTTATTGTGATTTGGGTGAAAGTTTATAGAGCAATTGGGTTTTTCAATGTAATTTATATACATTTTGTTTTGTGACATTAATTGCAATCCCTAAAACATAGCAGCACTCTTCCTGTGTTTATCGCTTCCAGTCATCTTTCTTTCCTATCCTGTCCTGCCTTTTGAGCTGTATCTCTGGGCAGATGCTGCCCTTTGGCTCTAATATGGTTGATTGTTCTAAGGAGTATATTGTTTTCCTTATAGACCTATCTTGTTTGGGTGAAAACTGAGCCATGGGGATGAGTTCAGTTCTGAGCTTAAAGAGTAACTAAGGGCTGTAAGATATGTACAGACTTTAAAATAGGACAAATATTGTTGCTGATTTGTCCTTTTCTCTACCTGCACTTTATTTTATCTGGGGTGGAGTCTCACTCTTCTGATTTAACATATGTCTTAGGCTGGATTCTGTAGAGAAGCAAAGCCAGTGAAGCTTATATATATATATAGAAGTTTGTAGCGGTGAGCAAGTAAAAAATATTGGGTTAAATGAAGCAAGATCAACAGGTCAGGCAGCAGGCAGGTAGGCTAAGGTGGCATGTTTACTCCCAGGATTGGCAGGCAATAGAACAGGCTGCTAGTTCAAATCCATATGACAAGCCAGATATAGGATCCAGACCCACCAGAAAGCAAGCCTGCTTTGTCCAGGTGCCCAGTATATTGGAAGCAGGCCACACCCCTGAAGAAACGTCCTTTCAGCTGATTGGCTGCTCACAGCATATCTCATCTTGGGGAATTAGTACATCTTAACTGCCAAACCACTGAGATTCCTGGCCCAATTGAGTTGGCATATAACCTGAACTATTACACATGCATTTTTTGAAATGCCGTAATTATTCAGCACAGGAAGATAAAATAAATGTCTTCTGATAAGAATTCACAGAAGCTGTAAAGATCAGAATTTTTCTGCTTACCTTTACCCTGGTGGCTTTCTTGTAGTATCACATGTGACTGAGAGTACATCTTTCCAATGTTTCAAGCATTAGACATACTGTTAAGGTTTTCTTTTCCTAATTAAAATAGAATGTTTTGGTATGGGTCTGGTTGTGTACTGTTTCTAGTCTCCAATCTAAAATCTTAACAGTCAAAATAGATTAAATAGGTAAAACCAGGCTTTATCTGTATTGTAATTCTAGATAATCACTAAAGAGCTTGAAGCCAATGAATGGAAGAAAAAATATGAAGAAACGCGAGAAGAAGTCCTGGAGATGAGGTGAGACAAGGTTTGAGAAAGTGGGAGAATATGAGAGGACTTCAAAAAGTTTATGAAATCATGGAATTAAAGGATAATGGAACACCCCCCTCATCACTTTATACATTATTCCATGTATTACAGATAAAGTGATGAAAATGTTTACGACAGAACCAACTGTTGAGAAATTGAGGGCTTTGCTATTTGGCCTTGCTTTCTTTGATTGATAGTGTCATTTCATGAGTTATTGCTGGAAGATGCTATCTTCAAATTCTGTAGCTTCTCAGGCTGATTAGAACATTAGAAGTAAGCAATACGCATATACTTTTTGTCTTTTGAAAAGAATTGTCATGAATATATATTAGAGGGAAAAAAAGACCTATTTGAACTACAGAATAATATGATTTATTGACATCTTCTATCACGGGGTAATGCAATTCAGAGTATTTTCTTTAAAATGAATTTTAGATGTTGTTAGTTGCCACTGAGTCAATTCTGACTTAGAGCAACCCCATGTGACAGAGTAGAACTGCCCCACAGGGTTTTCTAAGCTGTAATCCTTATAAAGAGGAGACTTGGTGGCTCAACAATTAAACATTCAGACGCTAACTGAAAGGTCGGTGGTTAGTAACCAGTCACTTCTCAGGAGAAAGGACCTGGCAATCTGCTGTCATAAAAATTACAGTCTAGAAAATCTCTGGGGCACTTTGGCTCTGTCCTAGATGCCATGAGTTAGAATTGACTGGCAGCAGACAACAGCTCTGGTAGCGTAGTGGTTACGAATCGGGCTGTGAACCTTAAGGTGGAGCGGTTTGAAACTACCAGCCGCTCCGTGGGAGAAAGATGAGGCTTTCTACTCCCGTAAGGATTTACACCCTCGGAAACTCTGTACAAGGTCGCTATGGGTCGGAACCGACTCAACGGCACTTAACAACAACAACAACAAAGACAACAGCAAACCTCTAAAAGCAATGGTAGCTTCAATTTCCATGTCCACCCAGTAGATTATAAGACGCATATAAACAAGAAACCAAATTGACTGACTTTAAATTGATAACTTTTCATTTTTTTCTGTTCATTCTTTAGAAAAGAGAGTTATGAAATAACTAAATACGGCATCAAAGAAGAGAAGGGAAAAAGAGTATCAATAATTCATTCACAGTGCAGTCAGCATCTGAATGACTGACAAGGAAACGTCTTCAACATGCTCAGCCTAATTTTCGGCTCTTATAAGATTGCAATTAAGTGTTTACGGGTGTTGGGCTCTGTCCTGAGCTTGGCGGAGATTAAAAGACAGCCCCCAATCAGAGCAGATCACTTAGAGCTTCCCCCTCCCTCCATGTAAACTTCATTAGTTTATCAAAGATGGATTTGGTTAAGTGGATAATCTATTGGCTTAAGATATTCAAAGTGGCAGAAAGCAAAAGTGAAGTCTACTGTTTGTATAAACAAAATAGAAAAATTGTTTTATAAAATCCTAAATACATTTCTGAAATTTAATAAATCTTACATTAATATTTTTTAAAAAGAGAATGGAGCGCCAAAGCAGATATAAATGAGTTATGTAAATTTGAATTATCAGTGTATGTTAATGTGTTAAATGGTTTGGGGCAGCCTTTTCCCAGCTTCCATTGTCTGAAAATTCTCATCTGATAATATGTTCCCTTTTTCTACTTATTTAGGAAAATTGTGGCTGAATATGAAAAGACCATCGCCCAAATGATTGGTAAGGAGATATTTTGTTTCTAGGATTCTAGTCATAGAATCCATTGGGTGATTCCTGGTGTGGTGCTGTAGGATAAGCACTGGACTACTAACCACAGGGTTGGTGGTTCAAACCCACCAGCTGCTCCTCGGAAATCCTATACAGGGTCTCTATGATTTGGAACTGACTTGAAGGCACTTAACAACAGCAACATACAGATTCCAAGTTGTCGACAGCTGTGTTCGTTTTAGAGGATGGCAGACATTAATTCTGAGACAAACTGCCCACCTAATACCTAAACTTGGTGCCTCGCTACATCATTAATGTCCTTTGGAATGCCTCTGTGGTGCAGTGTTTTTCCCAAGGACCCCTAGTGATTAAAGTGCAGTAGTTAAGCACATGGCTGCTAACTGAATGGTGGGCAGTTCAAACCCACCCATCACTCTGTGGGAGAAAGGTGAGACAGACTGCTCCCATAAAGATATACAGCCTTGGAAAGCTATGGGGGCAGTTCCACTCTGCCCTGCAGGATCACTATGAAGTTTGGCCTGTACCCCATTGCAAGTTGCACTTCCCCTACGTGAGACCCATCGTCACCGTAACAATGGCAGTGGCTAATCTCCCTATATTGAATTCAGAACCTTTTCATGCCAATCTTCTAAGGATTGACTCCGTAAATCAGTCTTTTTGCACTGAAACCCATAAATGAAACTTTCTGCTAGTGTCTACTGCAGTTGCATTCCTACCGCAGGGCTTTTAGCAAAGTTGTCCCCTCGCTAGGACTCCCTGGTGATGCACATAGTTAAATGCTCAACAACTGACTCAAAGGATGGTGCTTTGAACCTTTCCAGAGGCACCTCGTTAAGAAAGGGTTGGTACTCTGCTTCGGAAAGGTCACAGTCTGAAAACCGTGTGGGTCAGTTCTGCTCTGCACACTGGGTCACCATGAGTCAGAGTGGACGTGACAGTAACTGGTTGGTTTGGGCTTTGATTCCATCTCTGTGTAATTGCTACCTGACTCCTGCCCTCAGTTCTCTTAGGTTTCTGTTCAGATCTCTCCCCTCAGGGAGACCACTCCATATAAAAGATGAGCTCCCACCCTTTTGCTCCAAAGTAGAACCAATGAGAACAGTGCTTAGCTCGTAGAGGACAACCGTTGACTATTTTATTGAGTAAAAATATTGTTACTTTTGACTCCTTATTCACAGAAGATGAACAAAGGACAAATATGACCTCTCAAAAGAGCTTCCAGCAACTGACCATGGAGAAGGAACAGGCTCTGGCAGATCTTAACTCCGTGGAAAGGTCCCTTTCTGATCTCTTCAGGAGATATGAGAACCTGAAAGGCGTCCTGGAAGGGTTCAAGAAGGTGGCGTTTCCTTTTCCCTCTGTCTTCTTCTAGTGTCTTTTCTTGTTAATGGTGTTTCAAACATATATGCCAAACAGATGTAGGTTGCCTTTTAAATTGGCCTTGCAGCTTCTATTTTAGTGAGATTGAAATTTTGTTTTGTGTTTTTTATTTGTTTTTAGTTTTTTAACTTTTTATTATGAAGAGATTTTACAGATCATATGCATTGCTTCATTACATGGTTGTAATCCCCTCCATGTACCATCAGTTAACAGTATTTTCCTCTGTTCACTTTAACTCTTGCACTCCTTCCTGTGTGTACCGCTACTTTCATATCTTCTCTGCCAACTTTCCTCTTGTATATTGCCTGCACCATCACCCATGTTAACATGTACCCTCATAACCATCATAGAATGTTCTTTTATCAAGAAACTTTTAACTTTTTACAACATTGGTATTATACAATATTTGTCCTTTTGTGATTCACTAATTTCACTCAGCATAGTATCCACCAGGTTCATCCATATTGTGAGGTGTTTTGCAGATTCATTATTATTCTTCAGTGTTGCATTAGTATTCCATTGTGTGTATGTACCAAAGTTTGTTTAATCTTTCTTTTGTTAATGGACTTTTAGGCTGTTTCCATCTTTTTGATGTGTTGGAGTTTTGTTTTTGTTTTTCCCTTTCTGCGGCTCTTTAGGTATTTGGCCCACTAGGCGGCTAGGTCAGGCTAGTAAACCTTCTGCTAGGTCAGGCTAGTAAACCTCAGACCAGAGAACTGGAGCCCTCAAACTTTGGTAAAATTCTGGAAATGTTCCTTTTGGTAATTCACCTGTTCAGTATTAGGAAAAGTCTTGACTAAAATTCAGGCTGCATATTCCTTGAAACTAAAGGGGTCTTGGTTTGGTGTGGTTTATTCTCTACGTAATGACTCTACTCATTTTCAATTTAGATGTAAATTAACATATTTATTTAATTGTACACTGTCAATAAGACTCATTTGGAGCAGTGAACATTGTTTTTATATTAAATTAAAAGTGAGGCTGACCAATTTGATATGAGAATTAGATTGCAGTTCAGTTTTGAATAATTTCTAAAGTAGATGTATTAGGGATGAAAAACTCTTGAAAATGGGTAGTTGCACAATGTGATGATTCTAAGACTTACTGAGTTGTATACTTAAAAATGGCTAAAATGTCATTTGTTATGTGATCATCCCTTGGTATCTGAGGAGGGTTGGTTCCAGTACACTAATACCAAAATCCAAGAGCACTCAAATCCTTTATATAAAATGGCATAGTATTTGTGTATAACCTATGCACATCCTCTCATAATACTTTAAATCATCTCTAGATTACACACAGTGTAAAATGGGAGTGCAGTGGCTGAATAAGCTAAGCACTGGACTACAGATAACAAGGTCAGCTCCATAGGAGAAAGATGAGGCTTTCTGTTTCTGTAAATATTTAAACCCCTGGAAACCCTATACGGGGTCACTCTGAGTTGGAACCAATTGGATGGCACATAACAACAGCAACAATATAAATGCTATGCAAATATCGCTTTACACTCCCTCTTAAACTCTGGGGAACTGCTTTGATTAATTAATTGCTTTTTCTACCTTCTTTGAATATTTTTAATCCACTGTTGGCTGAATCCAGAGGTACAGAACCTACAGATACAGAAGGTCAACTGTATATTACCACAATTAAAATAATAATAATAGAGCATATTGGTATGATGTAACCTTACTTTTTAATGTTAAATGTTAGTTTCTTCACAGAAATTATCTAGAACTTCTTCAGTGAGATTTATGTGTGCCTGTTCAAATTACTGTAGAATATAAATTAAATTATAAGTATCTGAACTAGTTAGGTTTTCTCAAATTTTTAAGAAATGAAGGCTCTGATACATGATATAATTCTAGAAGAAATACAGAATGACCACTTTGATTTTACTTTAAATGATCACTTTGGAACAGAATGAAGAAGCCTTGAAAAAATGTGCTCAGGACTACCTAGCCAGAGTTAAACAAGAGGAACAGCGATACCAGGCTCTGAAAATCCATGCAGAAGAGAAACTAGACAAGTAAGAGCTTACAAATAGGAATTTCCCATTTCATGATGTTGTAAAGATTGACAGAGGCCAGAAGGTCACCATTTGACAACTCCGGGTTACATGTGTGTGTGTATTTGTTTTATTTACTTTAAAAAAAAAATTGGTAGCATCTTCAATCTTTGAATGTTACATGGTTCAAACATTAGAAAGTATGAGAAGGTATATACATTGCCTCATTCCCAGCCTTGTTCCGCCTTTCACTGCAGGTAATTGTGATTGTTCATTTTGGTCCTGTGCTTCCAGGTGTACCTTTGTCCCTTCTTTTTTATACAGATGTTATCATACCTTGCTTTTTTACACTTAGCAATATATATTGGAGATCTTTCTATATCTAAAGCTTCCTCATTTTTTTCATAAAAGCTACATGGTATTCCACTGCTGTAATGGATCATGTTGTATTTAGCCAGTATCCTCCTACTAAGCAGTTAGGTTATTTAAAATATTTTGCAGTTTCAAATAATGCTGCAATAGATTAATTTGTATTAATTGTCATTTTGCATGCAGGTGAGTATCTATGTAATCAATACTTAGAAAATTGATTGCTGAGCCAATAGATATATAAACTTACAAACTTACGTGAAATCGTCCTCATTAGACCAGTTTACTTTCCTATAAGCAATATAAGCATGCCTACTTCCCCTATTGTTTTGTCAACAGGTTAGATTTTGGGGGGGGGGGGGCGGGGTTACCACTGAGTTTCTATTAGGTGCTGCTGAATCAATTCCAAATCAGCCACACCAGTACTCCTCTATAGAGAATGATGTTGTTAGGTACCATCGAGTCAGTTCGGCATCATAGCGATCCTGTGCACAACAGAATGAAATACTGCCCAGTCCTGCACCGTCCTCACAGTCCTTGTTACATTTGAGTCCTTTGCAGTTGCCACTGTGCCAATCCATCTCATTGGAGGTTATCCTCTTTTTCTCCGACCCTCCACTTTACCAAGCATGATGTTCTTTAGTGACTGGTCCCTCTTGATAGCATGCCAAAGTAAGAGAGACAAAGTCTCGACATCCTTGCTTCTAAGGAGCATTCTGACTGTACTTGGTTGCAATATAGATCTGTTTCTTTTTAGCAGTGCATGGTACTTTGAATATTCCTTGCCAACACCATAATCCAAAATGTATTGATTCTTCTGCAGTCTTCTTATTCATTGTCCCACTTTCACATACATGTTATAGGGCAATTGAAAATATCATGGCTTGAATCAGATGCACCTTAGTCTTCATATTGATATCTTTGCTGTTGAATACTTTAAAGTGGTCTTTTGCAACAGATTTGCCTAATGCAGTACATCATTTGATTTCTTGGCTGCTGCTTCCGTGAGCATTGATTGTGGGATCCAAGCAAAATGAAGCCTTTGACACCTTTAATCTTAGCTCCATTTATCGTGATGTTATTTATTGGTCCAGTTGTGAGGATTTTCGTTTTCTTTACATTGAGGATACAATCCATACTGATCTTTATCTTAAGTATTTCAAGCCCTCTTCACTTTCAACGAGCAAGGTTGTGTCATCTGCATATCTCAGGTTATTAATGAGTCCTTTCTTCATTCCTAACTATATGCTTCTTCATATAATTTAGCTTCTTGGATTATTTGCTCAGCATACAGAATGAATAAGTATGCTGAAAAGATGCAATCACTTTTCCTGATTTTACGTCATTCAGTATCCCCTTATTCTTTTTGAACAAATGCCTCTTGATCTATGTACAGATTCCTTATGAGCACAATGAAATGTTCAGGAATACCCATTCTTTGCAATGCTATCCTTAGTTTGTTATGGTCCACACAATAGAAAGCCTTTGCATAGTCAGTAGAGCATAAATAAACATCTTTCTGGTATTCTTGGCTTTCAGCCAAAATCCATCTGACTTCAGCAGTGACATCCCTTGTTCCACATCCTCAAATTCTGGCAGCTCCTGTTGATATACTGCTGCAACCATATTTTAATTGTTTTCAGCAAAATGTAACTTTCATGTGTTGATAATGATATTGTTTAATGATTTCAGTATTTCATTGTTGGGTCACCTTTCTTTGGAATGGGCACAAGTACAGATTTCTTTGAATTAGTTGGCAAATAGCGGTCTTCTAAATTTCCTGGCATAGACGAGTGAGTGCCTCCAGCACTCCATCAGTTTGTTGAACATTTAAATTTTTTATTCTGTCAATTTGGTTTTTTCCCTAATGTCTTTCGGTACCATCATCATGTGTGTTACCTTTTGAAATCATTGAACATCGGCCAGTTCTGTTTAGTACAGTGACTCTATTCCTTCCATCTTCTTTTGATGTTTCCTGTATCATTCAGTATTTTCTCCATAGAATCCTTCAGCATTACAAATCAAAGCTTGAATATTTGTCTTCAGTTCTTTCTGCTTGAAAATTGCTGAGCATGTTCTTGCCTTTTGGTTTCCTAATGCCAGGGCCTTACCAATTTCATCATAATACTTTATTTTGTCTTTTTGAGCTACTCTTTGAAATTTTCTGCTCAACTTTTTTACTTCATCGTTTCTTCCAGTCACTTTAGCTTTTCTATGTTCATGAGCAAGTTTCAGAGTGTTCTGATGTTCATATTGGTCTTTGCTTTTTTTCTGTCTTTTTAATGACCTTTTGTTTTCTTTATGTATGATGTTCTTGGTGTCATCCCACAACACCTCTGATCATCTGTCCTTAATGTTCAGTGTATCAAATCTATTCTTGAAATGGTCTCTAACTTCAGGTGGAATATACTCAAGACCATATTTTGACTTTCATGGACTTGTTTTAATTTTTTTCTGCTTCAAGCTGAACTTGCAAGTAAGTAATTGATGGTCTTTTTCACAGTCGATTCCTGGCTTGTTTTAGTTGATCATATTGATCTTCTCCATTACCTCTTCCCACAGATGTAGTCGATTTAATGCCTGTGTTTTCCATCTGGAAACGTTCACGTGTATAGTCAACATCTGTGTTGTTAAAAAGGTATTTGCAATGATTAAGTTGTTGGTGTTACAAAATTCTATCATGCAATCTCCAGCATCTTAATATCACCAAGGCCATATTTTCCAAATACTGATCTTTTCTTTCTGTTTCCAACTTTTGTATTCCAATAACAAGTAATTATCGATTCATCTTGATTGCATATTTGATCAGTTTGAGACTGAGGAAGTTGGTATAATTCCTCAAATTCTTCATCATTGGCTTTAGTAATTTGTATGTAGATTTGACACCACTCGTCTGTCATTTTGTTGTGCTGTGGTGGCTTATGACTTGCTGTGATTCTGGAAGCTATGCCACAGGTATTTTACATACCAGCTGGGTCACCCATGGTAGACAGGTTTCAGATGAGCTTCCAGTCAAAGACAGACTAGGAAGAAGAAGAAATGAACTACTTCTGAATATTAGTTACTGAAAATCTTATAAATAGCAGAGAAACACTGTCATATATAATGCCAGAAAATGAGCCCCTCAGATTGGTCATATGGGTACTATCTGCAAGTTTAAGCATTCTTTTTTTTTAAGGTTTTTATTGTGGATTGAGTGAAAGTTTACAGGGCACATCATCAGTTTCACATTCAGCCATTCATATGACTTGTTTCATTACATTGATTATAATCCCCTCCATATATCATCAGTTAACTGTGTTTCTCTCTAAGTTTAAGCATTCTTGTGTGTCTCCCCCCACTTCATATCAGCTAGAGACTTCACTCTCAGCTTTAGCCCTCCATGGCTAGGTCAGTGTCCGTGAGCTCAGGAGTTCCCAAGTCTCACCATACTTCAGACCAACCAGCCCTTCCTCTTCTCTCTGTGATCTCAAGGTTGCCAGGAGTTTATGGAATGTGATCGAACTCAGCCCATATCTTCATTACTGCCTTTCCCCCACTTTCACTCACATGTAGACCCACAAGATCACCAGCAAGATTACATGCCTGCCTATGTTGTTCCCTTTGAGTTTTCAGTCTTGGCAAGGGTTTTTTCCTGAAGGGACTTGATTTCTTGCCTTGATGGCTCCCTGGTGAACAACTTGCTTGTTCTTGTTATAACCAAAAGACTGCTATTTTTGCTTTTGTTTTTTCCTGCTGGTCTTTCTTTCAGGGCTTAGCTTCTGTTCCTCTAGCAGCTCTTGGCTGGTCTTCATGTCCTTTCAAGTGGGAATGGCCCACCTCAGAAGGTTCTAGATGGGGCTCTGATGTCCACCTAAGGCCCTATACACTACAAAGGCTCTGCAAGAAACCTGTTTCACTGGACAAGTTCTAGAACCCCTTTTAGGTATTCCAAGCAGTTACAGGCTGAAGTCAGGCTTGCAAGCTTTCTGTAATCATGTTTCTTGTTAAATACCATCTAGTCGGTTCCAACCCTTAGCAACCCTGTATAACGTTTCCAAGGAGCAGCTGATGAACTTAAACAGCCTACCTTGCAGTTCAAATGATTTTGCAGTTCAGTGCATTAAGCAACAGTGCCACACCTGGAGTCCCAAATTCACTTAGAACTACTTTTTTAAAAATTATTCATCTATTCTTTTTTTTATTATTATTTTTTTTTTATGTTTTGTGAATTAAGTGAAGGTTTACAGATTTAAGGTCATCAGTTTTACATTCAGCCAATCATACACCATGTTTAAGATCATCAGTTATACATTCAACCTGTCATACACCTTGTTTCAATCCCCTCTGTGGAACAACAGTCACCCACTTCCTCCCTGTGGCTTGAATACAGGAGATTTTGCCTAATATGCCATGATGTGAGGATTGTGGTTAAAATCGGCCTTCTCTACTGATGCCCAAGCTTTTTTTTTTTTAATGTTTTATTGTGAATTATGTGATAGTTTACATGGGAGAACATTAGTTTTACATTCATTCTATCGTATATCATTTTATTACCATGGTTACAATCCCCTCCATGCATCATCAACCAACCAAAGGGTATACCCTGCAAGCCTGCCCCCTTCACTCCCCGCCCCCAGTCATCAGCACACAGCCCCTCTCACTCTCTGGATCTAAAGTCCCCAGCTGCACCATTGTTCCATGTCATAGTCTCTGCCTCCATCTCAGGCATCACTGCTTCTCTGGGTAGGGTCCCACTCTCCACTCTTCATCCGTTGATGTCCTAGGGACCTCTGCTCCTAGACTGGAAAGTTAATCACTTCCCTTAGAATTACTTTTTAAAAAATATACTGGAGTCATGCTATATAAATTTAGTTTTTCACTTAGTATATATCATAGCCACCTTTTCATGTCCGTACAGAACTCAATCTGATTTTTTTTTAACTTCTTATTGTGAATTGAGTAAAGGTTTACAGAGTATATCACTCATTTTACATTCAACAAATCATATTATTTCATTTCATTACAATGATTCCGGTTCAACAGTATTTACCACTATTCATTTTAGCTCTTGTATTTCTCTTTGTGTCTCTTGTTACTTTATCATTCCTCTGCCAATTTCCTTCTTGTTGTACATTGCCTTTCCCATCACCCAAGTTAACATCTCCTTTACTGCTGAACATTTAGGTAGTTTTAAGGGTATTTTCATTGCAAATATAATACTACAGTGAGCATCCTTGTACGTTCATCCTTATGCCAAGCGTGACTATTTCTGTGGCTAGACAGCAAACGTGGAATTGCTAGGCCAAAATATATTTTAATTTTTAATATTTAATACAACATTGCTCTCCACAAAGGCAGCATCAATTTTTCATTCCTACCTTCAGCATGTGAGTCAGCCAACACAGGCCAAAATCATGCTTGTTTATTTTTGCCAAGCTGATCAGTTTAAAGAAAAAGAAAAGTTTTACTGTTTCCCATGCTTGGGATTACTAGTATGATTATAGCATCCTTTCATTACTTAATTGATTGTTTTTCAACTGGCATGCATGTTATTAAATTTTACCCAAGCATCTTAATAAAATAATTTGTTATAAGTTTGTATCTCACACATGTCAGTAAATATTATCCTGATTTTTTAGTTCAGTAATCCACATGATTCTGCTGCCCACTAGCATATTGGATTTTAAAAAACAAAAACAAAAAAAGATAACTAAGATTGTTGTAGAAAATGTTATTGTCTCTTTCTCTCTTTATTTATAAATAGAGCCAATGAAGAGATTGCTCAGGTTCGAACAAAAGCAAAGGCTGAGAGTGCGGCTCTCCATGCTGGGCTCCGGAAAGAGCAGATGAAGGTGGAGTCCTTGGAAAGGGCCCTTCAGCAGAAGGTACAGACAGGGGTGTGGTATGGACCACCACAGAGACGGTTCCTGCTCAGTAGTGGCTGTCAGTGGATTTCCGTGTACTTAGCTTATGATGGATCTGGGTGAATGAGGCCTTTTGGTTCCCATACTTCATTCCAGCTCTTTTGCAAACTGCCTCTGGTGGCGGTGAACAAGATAGCCTCCCCTTGTTCTGTAAAGACAGACCCATTAAACTCCCAGGAAATCATATATAGGCAGGGTACAGAGAATAAGTTGCATTTACTGAAGCTCAGAAGTAGACACTTCTTAATTGGAGCCGTAAGACTGGTTTTGTTTTGTTTTATGCTATATATGGAACTGGCATCTTCCCCCTTCATTGCTATAGTCAGTGGTTCTCATTTGGGGAAGATTTTTCCCCAGGGAACATTTGAGAATGTCCAGAGATATATTTGGTTGTCGTGACTGGGAGAAGCTAGTCTTCTAGAGGATATAGACGAGGAGTGTTGTAACCTTCCTACAATGCACGAATAGCTCCCCACAGTGATGATTTAACTTGGCTCAAAATATGAATAGTGCCACAGCTGAGAAACTGTGCTGTATAGATAAATGAAAAACAATAAGTAAGTATTGATCCCCAGTTTTTAGAATGTCTTTTTTGTATGTCCCTTTTTTTTTTCTTTACTCTGTTAACTAATTTTGTACTGGTACCAATGACATCCACTCAGCTAGAGCAGGGAGTTTTATCATGGAGTCGGATAATTCCCCTGACAACACCCAGGGATATTCAATAAGACTCTAGAATCCTGGATCCCTGGAAAGGCTGATATACTGACTAAGTCCTAGATACTGGTAACTTGTAGCAAGCAACAGGTAATTCCTGCAATAACAATGGAATTTGGGAACTAAAAAGTACACAGACAAGGTTCCAAGATCAGTGACCAAATTCATTCCTACTCTATTTAAGCATATTTTTGTGCAGAGTCCTGATGTGGTGCTGTAGGATAAGCACTGGACTGATAATCACAAGGTTGGTGGTTCAGACCTGGCAGCTCCTCCTTGGAAACCCTGTACAGGGTCACTATGAGTCAGAACTGACTCAAGGGCACTTAACAACAACAATGCACATTTCCCAGGAAAAAAGACTTGTAGATTTTATTTACATAACAGGGTTCGTGTGTGTGTGTGTGTGTGTGTGTGTGTGTGTGTTGAGGAGCCCTGGTGTGCTGTGGGTTAAGCACTGGGTTGCTAACTGACCAGTCACTCCATCGAAGAAAATGAATTTACAGCCTCAGAAACCCTATGGAGCAATTGTGTTCCGTGCTGTAGGGTGTCAACTAGAGGGAGAAGTGGGTTAGGTTTGGTTTATCCTATGTTGAAGGAGTCCCTGAGTGGTGCAAATGGTCAAGTGTTCAGTTACTAGCCACTCAAAGGCACCTTGAGAGACAGGCCTAGTAGTCCTGCTTTTAGGAGGTTACAATCTTGAAAGTCCTGTGGAGCAGTTCTACTCTGCACACATAGGGTCACCATGAGTCAACATCAACTCTACAACTAACAGCAGCATTATGTAGTCAGGTTAAGAATCACTGAGTTAAGATGGGTAGGCAGTTTAGCTATATTTGCCTTCATTTCCGAAGACTGAGAGGCCTGCTTAAGTACGTCATTTGTCTTTCAGAATCAAGAAATCGAAGAATTGACAAAAATCTGTGATGAGCTGATTGCAAAGCTGGGAAAGACCGACTGAGTTTTTACCGTTAGTCCAGCAGATCTGCGTTCGGCTGCTTTCCCTCGTGACCACAAGTATCTTGCCTTATTCAGGAATAATTGCCCCTTTGCAGAGACAAAACTAAAAAACAAGCACATGCCTCCTGCTGCCTGTCCCGCTTTGCTGCCAGTTCGACATCCTGAAAGAGACCCTGGAGTCCTGCACAGTTGGGAAAGGAGGAAGATCCAACAGCCTCACAGTTCTTGTTGGAAGGCTCAGTTCCACATGCTGCTGAGTTAGGGATTGTGGTTTCTTCGTCTATTTGTCTGTTTTATAGCCTTCTTTAATTTTCCAAGTGTGTCAAATTTACGATTTTGTAACTACTGTTTGGGGTCATCTCCTTTTCCCACATCTTAGGGTTTTTTTTGTTGTTGTTGTTGTTTAATGACCTATTATTTAATCTTTTGAATTTAATTTGGTTTTATTTGAGATCATTTGGCCTAATGATAACAAGAAGGGACTCAACATACCCATCTACCCACATACACGTTTATATACGCTGCTTTTCTTTTTATCTGACACCTAATCAAATAAAAATTTCTCTACAAAAGGGCATACTCCCATAAATATAAAACCCTCTTTTGAAATAGAGGCCTGGCTCAGAATGCCTACATATGAATTTGGGGGGGTTGAAGATTTAAAGACCCCATGTTTGTGTCTTTCATGATTTGTAAGTCCAGAGTCAAGTCTCACTTAACCTCTGGGGAAGACTTTTTGCCCTGATGTTTGGATGCCCTTTTGAGATTAGGCCTAAGCTGAAAGCAGTATCTGCTTCCTGCACATACAGCAGCATTTGTTGGACGCCCTTAAACATGAGGTTTGTCCAGTCCATCTAGAGCCACATATCTCTTCTTCCATTCACTGAAACAAAAATCAGCATTTAATTTTTATCTTTCTATCTGAAATAGAGAGTCCTGGTGTGGTGCTGTGGGTTAATGCACCAGACTACAAAGCCGTTTGAACTGCAAGGTCGGTGGTTCAAGCTCACCAGTCGCTCCTTGGAAACCCTGTATAGGGTCACTATGGGTCGGAATCAACTCGACGGCACTTAATAACAACAATAACATCTGAAATACACGAAGAAAACCTAGTTGTAAAAGATTTAGATCATCTTCTTTAATTAAAGGTAATTGTAGGCCCATTAATAATTATAAGGTGAAGAGACAGTTATTGGGTTTTTGTGTTTGTTTTTTTCCACAAGTATATTGAAATGGTCTTCAGATGTTTTTTTAAAGGAAAAAAAAAAATTCCTTTAAAACTTTAAACAGTGGAAGTTACAACAAGACAGGCAGTAAAAATCATGTGAAATTCTCCAAAAATCAATCTATTTTTAAATGTTTTTAAGCAAAGACAACTTGAATTCTAGAAGAGGGGAGTATAGGGAGAAGGTCCATACTAACAAATCCAAGGTTATCAAGTTCTCACTGGACTCATTTCAGAATGGTGGGGACATTCACCCCACCAAATAGCAATGTCCCATGTGACTCGATTGAATTCCCTTCCATTTGATAGGCAAAGCCAAATCCATGCAAGTGTTTTAAATCACTCTCGTCTTAAATCTTATACCCTTAAAGTCTCCTTGGTGATATGCATTCTGTTCAGTACTACTCGTAAGTTTTCCTACTTTTCTTGTAAAAAAAAGTTGCATGATCCAACTTCAGCAATGAATTGTGCCTAGTTCAGAACCTCTATCAATCTTTTCAATGACTTTTTCTTTTGCAGTGTACTAGCCACATGGGTGCGATCTTTAGCCACAGGAAGGTCGATGTCTTTTAAAACCAGAAGTTAACATTTTACCAATATGCATTTATCATAATTGGTGCTTAGGCTGTGTTTTCACGCCTATTGTCTTAACATTTTGTACAAAAAAATAGAACAAACAGAATGATCTTTGGTTGGAAAAGTGACCTGACAATCATTTGAGTGTTAAAAGCAGTTACAGTGGCTTAATGGGAATACTGTACTAATAGTTGTGGCGTCAGACACCAGTGTTTTCAGTTGGTCTAACTGAGGACACTTTTCGCCTTGGCCCTCAACTACTATTTAACTTTGCATTCTGCAGAAAGAAATAGCGCTAAACCTTTTTTTGCTGCTGTGTCTTAGTGACATATCCGTGTTTACTAGTTTTCTAATGGTGTTTTAAGCCTAAAAGACTTTTTGTGGTCTCCATTATAAATCCATAGTCACTTTCTTTTTTATAGTCTTTTTGTTGTTGTTGTTGTTAAGACTTATTGTGTATTTGAAAAAGAAGATAGCTCTGTGTTAAAACAAAGGTGACGACAATCCTTTCCTTAACACACTGGTAGAAGAGACCCATAAAACTTCATCCCAAGGGGATGAAGTTGCTGAACAAGAAATACAAAAGGATCCTTGTTTAAGAATTTTTGCCACTTAGCCTGTCAGCTACAACCATTACATAGAAAGGTTCTGAATTCTAATTTTATAATGGATTCTTGCCAACAAGAATATGAAAGTGTAGCTTGTACAGCTGGCAAATCAGGAAACTGCTGTTCAGAGTGAAGCATGTTTGTTTTTTTGTTTTTTTTTAATAAGAAAAAAAAAAAAAGTTTGGGAACTCTGGAGATTGAGCATATAGTCTAGAGTTTTGTTTCAAAACATGTGACAACCAAATTACTTGTAACTTCAGCAATAATCCCCTGTTGCAAAACTAGAAAGGGAAGGCGTAAAGAATGTCACTGCCTTAGAAAGGGGGTTGGGATTATTAGGTAATTTTACTGAGACTCTGGCTCCACAGGCATGTCTTTCACTTTTGACTCTGCCCAAATGCAGCTAGCTGGTCTTTATCTAACTGGATTTCAACCGGAGAATTGGATGTAAGACTGAACAATTCGTCGCTTGGTTGGCTAGGTAGTCGGTTACAGACAGACCTCCAGAGATTTACTTTATTTGGAGAAGCTCCTTGAAACCAGTGACCTACCCAAACCTTTTGTTCTGTAAAATGGTTCTGGAATTATTGAGAAGTCCAGTTTTCTCACGTGGTCTCTAGTTTCTCCAGACCTGGCCAAATTAGGAAGTGCAGAAGCACATGATGGTGAAAAGCTCCTAGGATTTGGCAGCATTCCAGAATGGTATGGCAGCTAAGGGAAGACTTGCAGTTCATTGTAGAGCATAGCGCACGTTTAATTTTCTTTCCAGCCAGTTACTCTTTCTACCTTTCCCAGACTTTGTACAACTCACACACAGATACCTAGATATTTATTAGACAGCCCTGCACTGGTTCTGTCTAGTTGTGAACAGCTATCCCCTAAAAGCAGCCACATTTGAACCTCCCTTTACAAAGATAACAAAAGGATTCCATGGTGGCTCTAAAGCCCAAAATGAACTTTTCAAGAGCAAGCATGGAAATCCCAGCAAATCATGCCAAAGGTCCAAGAAGTCATCTACTTCAAAGATTTTAATGAAGAAGTATTTTAAGGAGAGTCCCGTTCCAGGTTTGATTGGCTTCCAGACTCCAGTTATTTAAAAAACAAAACAATTCACCATTTACACCTTGAGTCTCCCATAGAGTAAAAGGTAAATTAAAGGAACTGCTATAATAGATTCTTCTCTCTGGAAGACAGTATACATGGCAGCATTCTCCAGGGAACACCCACTCTCCCTAGTACCAGAGCTTGCATCTTGGAGACTAAAAAGATTGCACTTTCCGTAGTTTTCCGTCCAAATGCAATCCCATTTCTGTGCCTCTTAGCATGCAGTTAGATTTGGACAAACAAGATTCCTAAGGAATGACTTTATTAACTATAATATGGTTATAGCTATTACATATAAATATATATTCTGGTTATAGTTCTAATGTGGAGATGTTGCGTGTGATGCTGGCCTGTGGCAGTCTGTAAAATGCTTTAACTCATGGGGAAAGCCAGGCTTGAAGCTGAGGTGTGGCCTGACACCCTTGCCTGTATTTACTCTTCATTTTAGACCTAAAAGATGCCACCTTTCCCCTTCTGCCTTCTAGCAGCATCCGAAATACAATGCAAAAAAAACAAGTATTTCCTAGTCACAATGCTAACCGATATTCTGTTTCTATGAACATTTTCCAAACAGTCTTTCCCAAATGTGAACTCTGAAAACAACCTGCAGTCCAGGTACAGGGCAGTCTGTAGGTTACCACACCCACAGCTTCCACCTCGCTCCTTCACACCCAACTGCGGTGGGGTCCAGGCATTTCTTTGAAATCTCAGCGGTAGCAGTAAACTTTTCAGTGTTGCTGTTAGCAGGTGTGTGTTTGCTACTAGATGTCCAAATGTACTAATGTGCCAATAAGTACCGTGAATTGTATATCTGCTTCCCCTGCGTTCCCTCGAGTGCCATGAGGTGTGTGAGGAGCCCCTGGTCCACAGGAACAGGCGCTACATCAGCTGCTGCTGTCAGGACTGTTGTGTGGAGTAATCATCTGCATAAATTTTATATGCACAAGAATTTCCCTTTTTATATGTCAAGTAAATATTTGTAAAAGTTAACTCACACAAATGAAATTATTATAATGATTACTAATATATTTTTTCCATGTTTCATTGCCTGAATAAAAACTGTTTATCACTGTTAGATTTGTGTGTGTGTGTGTGTGTGTATATGATTCCCCACCCACCTACCCCCAGTTATAAGTCATTTTATCCCTGACTGAACATTTAAGGCAGCCTCGCTTTCATAAACTCCATATTTCAATGTAAAAATAGCAGAGATGACATTTCTGCTGCACTCATTTTGAGGGGTTTATACATTTGGTTGGATGTGTAATTAAAAACAAAGCAAACAAACTTTAGAATCCAGATCTTGCCATATAAATTCCCATGCCTTTTGCATCTGTGCAAACAAAGTTTTTAGTTGGGTGCTGCTTGGGTTTGCTCAGAGACTGGTTGTCTGCCCTGACATTTTTCAAGTCACAAGAACCTAAGTCATCCCAAGTTTTCTGACTTGTTGGAGGACAGAGGGTAAACCAGAACTATGTAAATATTGGAGACCTGTCCACAGAAAATAGTTGACGTGTGTTGTTTCTTCTAGGTTCATACCAGGAAAAATGTTTTCAATGTTGGCCAGACCAACACTTCTCTAAAAGAAGTATGGAGATTGGAAGGGAATTTCTGAGTAATATTAGAGGTAAAAACAAATTAAGAGGGTAGTTAAAGCTTCATTTTACAATTTGAGGATCCAGATAGTGATCCGGTAAGGAAAATCAGAACACTGCTACTTTATTATTATTTATCATATCCTAAGACCTTGCAGCCTATAAAGTTCCTAAATGTAATATTTTTCAGGAGTATGTTCCAAAACTGCCAGGAGAGAATCC